ACTGCTCTTTGATACCCAACGTATCCCATATGGCCTTTAACAGCTCACCTGTCTCAAATGAAGGGAATAGGAATTTCGTAGTTTTGCTATGTAACTCCCCCTCTGATTCTTGATCCTCCGACTCCACATGAGAGCCTGAGGATTCACTGGGCGCTTGCTTGCTCAAGTAGCTTTCTGCATAGCCCACCGAGCTACCTTCCCCTGATGTTCCGGGTAGACTGGTGTCCCCCAGCGTCCCCACTGGGCTCTGCAACACAGACCTGAAAGATTGATATGTGGTAACCATTTCCTCTCTCATAGAATCTATCAAGCCTTTGAACATCCCAGCCGATTCTTTGGCTACCACCTTTTCTAAACACACTTTGCATAAGGGTTTGAACCATGAAGGTGACATTTTGACACAGCAAGAGGCACACTTCTTCCCTTTTGGGCGAGAGCCGCTAGCTTCAGCAAGGGGCTTATCCTCCGCGGCCTTGACCTGCATAAGACATAAGGATGCCGTCAGCCAGTACTCCGCCCAACATGCAAAACAACGTTTAGCAAAAAGTATCACCCCCCACTTGTCCTGTCACAGGCCCCCAACACAACACTGTTTCAGTGACCACTTCCGCCCTCACTGCCATGCGGCTCCGACTCACTTCCTGAGTCCACCACACCGCAAGTGAGCCGGTGACGCTGATACCATCCCGCGCGAGACACCACTCGGTGCCGCGGCGAGGGTACAGCCATCAAGGAGACCACCGCCCCCCCTGCCCAGAGAGCCCTCGAGGGGGGGAACCCCATCAACCACACAAGGTAAGCCCCATTGGGGGGTATCCATTTTGCCAACTGCCAGTGTGTTTGCTGCTGGCAACCACATTTCACAAGGGGGTGCTCCATGTTAGGACTCACCGCACTGCACACCAGGGGGGGCCACCATCTGGAGCCACTCACGTCAGGAGGATGGTTTCCCTCCCTGAGCGACGGAGGGGAACCTTGGCCAACTCGGATGGGGGTCCGATAGGGAAAACCCTGCATGCGCCACAGCAGGCTATGCCCGGAGTGGTCCCAACACATGCAGGGTCAGGCTCATGCCCTAAAGCAATCAAATCCTGAGCCAAAAAATAACAAACATTACGATGTCCCTGTGTAGACGGAGGAAACACAAAAAAAACTGAATTGGAATGGAAGGAGGAGTCTATTTATTTAATGTGGTTGATGTGTTTCCTGCTGCAGGCGGGCGGAGCCTTCTCTCATGGGCTGTCCTGGAAGATGACTGGGGAAAATAGGAGTACAATTAGGGTAGTGTACAGAGCAAAGCATAGAAATATACAGCACAACATACAGGGCAAAGCAGCGTGGAGTATACAAGGACCAGGACAGTGTACAAAGTGGAGCAGTGTGCAGTTCATGTACAAGACAGTTGGGTGGAATATATACAGTAAATCACAGCGCACAAAATAGAACGGTCTGAAGTAAATAACCTACAGCAAAGTGTACACTAGGAATGTATTTTGAAAAGTTTTAAAATACTTGATTGCCAGTGCTGATTTTAAAGTATTTATAATTTTTGCCCCGACTGTAAAATCTTTCACTTGGAAGATCATTAAGGAATATAGAATTAGGAGACAACTGGATTATTCTGCCACCTAGCAAAACAGAAATGGCAACAACACAGATCAATTAAAAACTAGCTTTTAAAGTAAGGTGCACATGGAAGGGCTTTGCACAGTACAAACACAACAATTTCCCAGCACACTTACCATCAGGCCTGCAAAAAAAAAAATGGCACGGTTTAACAATTTGCATTAAATAGATGTGGAAGTCCCATTTCCTTGTCAAGGCCCCTCTTGGGAGCACTTTCAGGTGTGTTGTAGAGACCATACCCCTGGGTCTAGATGCTGCTGGGTGAGGACGTTTAATAGAAAAATGATAAGCACACTACTACTAGTGTGGTGGAAGGAATTAATTACTTTATGTTTTGATTATATTTCAGACAGTAGTAATGGGTGTGTGGTCTCCTTTGACAGGGAGAGGAGCCCTGCATCTAGAATAACCAAAAACAAAATAGGAGCGCTACTACCCAAGAAACTGTTAGTGATTGGAGTGATGTGAATTGGATGAATATGTGGAAACAGGTAAACGGACTCACTGTTAGATGGGGGCAGTGAAGATCATCTCATTGTAGAAATGGGTTGTATTCACATCAATGAAGGCATTGTAAGTCTTTCTTGTGAAATGGTACTAGAACGAGGAATGTGAAGGAGGATTTAACTGATGACAAGATGTGTAGAATAGGAACTCACAATCCAGAATGGGAGGTTTCCGAGATGTAGCAGATGTAAGTTGCACAAGCTCAGCTGGCCAGGCTGAGCCGTGGCGGCTGTGCGGGGAGCGTTCGTGCTGGTGGGCACTTACAACCGGTTTGCTGTATGTTCAATAGGAAACGAAAAAGCAGTGCCGGATGAGGAAGTCTGCCTGTCAATAATCAATGGCTGGAATATGAATGACAGACAAGGCTGGAATGTGACCTTGTGCCAAGGAGAGAATCAATTCTACTTCTTTTGCCACGCCAAGACTGTTGATTACTGCCTGGTAATCAATGTATTCCAATGCCGTGCAATTCTCCGTCAAGATATTTATCGAAGACTTTTATTGGAGCAAAGATTCCTCTGACCTCCAAGTTTCCTGCATTGACAATGGATCCAGGACTCCTACCCAGTCTGTCAGGCTGGCGTCCATTGTAATGATCACCCAAGGTATTGGCAGGAAACAAGAGACAACCAGGTCCTTGGTGTCTTGGATTGAACAGCGAGAGTCTGGGAGTGGGCATTTGAAGTTTTGATGGTGAGAAGAAAACTCTGTCCAGGATCAGACCCAGATATTACAAGCAATAAATGGGTTCCAACGCAGCCTTCTGAAGGTTCAGGATCCAACGAACAACACTGTTGGTTAGGAATTGTGATGACCGTTTGCTCAACAGTTGGTCGACCAGCTACCCCACCGGCTACTCGACCGGCTAGAACCTTGCTGAATATGCAGGGTGCCCAATTATACAGAGTGCGGAAGAGAGACAGAATGTCATGGCCACCAACTGGAAGTGTTGGAGACCCATAGCAAAGCGAAGTAATCACTGATGTGCTGGAAAAATAGGGACTTGCAAGTATGCGTCCTTGATATCTATTGAAACCAGTTGCACAACTTTTATTGCGGTATCGGGCATTCTGCTGCCATGCACGGTCACCAGGATGTGCGATTGGGTGCCACTGATTTAAATGGCAACACAACGCACAGTACAGCAGACTAGATGAGCTGTGCAATGCTGTGCACTAAACGCATTGGTATTGTGTGTTTATCTCAACATTATGGTGTGAACGGGCCCTAAATGTTTGTCTATGGGATCCTTCAATGCTGCCACATCCCCTAATGGAATCATCAGTGCTTGGTTGAGAGGACAATGCCAGATTAACTGTGGAAACTGGCCACATTTTGATGAAGGCCTCCACAAACAGATGTTTGATTGTAAAACAATTAATCAGAGCTTCCCAGTCAGCTAACAAGACGTCTGGCAATACAGTGTGTATAGGGAAAAGCTTTTGTAGTCTTAGGGCCTTCTAGGGATGCTAGATTAGCTGCAGCTCTGGTGGAAGTTACAGGCTGCTTCTCCAACATTAGGTTGTACCGTACCGTGTCTGTCAAGTACCACATCAATAAGAGAAGAAATAGTCTCTTTAAGCTTGAGTGTTATTGCGACTGCCCGCGACTCCTCAGGGGCAATCTCATCCTGCAAGGATTTGCAAGGCTCTTCATCAGATAATGATTCTGCAGGGGAAAGCATTTAAGTACACTTACGTCCTCTGCAGTCGGCATAAAAATAGCAATGTGATCCATAAAATCCTGCATAACTGTTGAAATCCTCCCGGGTTAAAGACAAAGAGGGGGCCACAGCATATGAAGCCAAGAAGGAATTTGAAGAATGTAAGAACTCAAGCAGGGGCCAATGTTCCTGGCTGTCAGTGTCAGGCCCTAAGAGCGAACACTCAAAGCTGCCCCTGAACGGTTAGTGGATCTAGAGCCAGAGGCACCCGACACAGCAGGACTGGTCCTCTTGTCTTTGGGATTCAATATGTTGCACTGCAAACAGGTACAACTGTAATACAGGGTAAAACCTTGAATACTGTACCAACTGCTGAAAGTAGGAGCGGTTCAAAAGGCAGGAGGTCACCCAGTCACTGTAGGTGGCGGCAAAGACTATTTAAGGTGCAAACGCATGTCTCCTGCAAACAGCAACATTGGTGGGAAGGTGCTACCTCAGACTGAATAGCTGGAAAAGAATGCGGAGTGTGCATATACAACACACCACCTAGTGATGCAGCACTCAATTCCTTAGCATTTTAAACCTTTCAGAGGAGGGGATAATAATGGCGCCCGGCAGGTGTAATAAATGGAGCTCGGCCCACATGGCTTACTCATTGAAGAATCTTTATAGACTGGGTCACATCAGAGGCTGTGCCATGGCTCTGTACCTAGAAAGTGTGCACAGTACCTAACTAACACAGTACACAGAGGTCTGGAAAGTGGCACAAGCAGAGCCCAGTGCCCAAAGGTCTCATTCAAGACAGGTTCTACAATTGTCTAGTCCACGGAGGTCTGGGTAAGGTCTCAAAAGCTATTGCTGAGGATCCGCCGATCCGCAATGCTGCATGAAGAAAAACGCTCAAGAAGTTTGTAGATGAAGTCTTAACTGAAGAAAAATTATCTGGAAAACAGAAAATATGTCTAGAAAAAAAAAAAAATAGTTACACTGTTCTGGGTAGAGAGAAGACGTCCATTCTACAAGAGCACTAGCAAAAATGATGGGAGTGGGTCATACCAATCCTCCTCTAGACAGCATTACAACCCAATTGTCTCCTTATCCTGTGTCCATTAATAAACGAGTAAGAAAATAATTTTCTAGTATAACAGTCTACAAAGCATTTTCAATGAGCACATGAGGATCTCAAATGTCAGAGAAGACTTACAGTGCATTTGCAGTCACCAGCAGGTCATAGTTGTCAAAGAGAACAACCTCAGGCGCTTCTACGATAATAATGTAGATAACCTGAATGGACAACATGAGAGCCAGTTTTCCAATGCTGCTGATCTGAAGAAACACGGAGCAGGCCAGCAGGCTCAGCAGAATGCTGTAGTTGAAGTACTGTCAAAGATAAAATGTAAGACATGCTTGATTGTGCAAGAGACAACATTCACACATTAAGTCAAAATGTTCCTAAATGTAACATATCCATCACCTAACTCTTTTGTGCTGAGCAAGCCTATCAAAGCTGACCAAACACACTTATATTCTTATATAAATCACCATTTAACAATGATAAACATATATAAGTGTGTAAGTAAAAACATCAAAACATCCTGGAGACTTATAACAAGCGTAGTTGCTGAAGGAATATTTACTTTGCTAAATAACATAACTACTCGCAAACTAGGACATCAGAGAACCTTAGAACAGCTACCGTATTTGCCGGCGTATAAGTCGACTGGGCGTATAAGACGACCCACTAATTTTTCTGTTAAAACATATAATAAAAATGTTTAAATACACCCACTAATCTCCATGGCAGTATTCCCGAGTGTGGCTCGGGGGTAATTTTCAGTACCATAAGCGATAACCCAGAGCCACACTCAGGATTACAGTCTCTTACCTTGACCACAATCCCCGCTGTGTCCTCTGTCTTGAGGGTTCCGTCCCTTGCAAGCTTCCGCGTCGCAGGGGGGCGGAACCGGCGGGTAGTTTAAAAAAAAAATAGAACAAAAAAGGAAACAAAAAATAAAAAATAATCAGACCGCCAGGGAGGCTAATCTGTCAGGATGTGCGGTAATACTGTATGTACGGTAGCTTCGGCTACATACAGTATACTGCGCTGAGCCACTCACGGCGAGCAATGTACACAACCAATCCGAGCAGGCTTTGTATTCATTAATAGAATACATCGCTCGCCGTGATTGGCTCAGAGCGGTATACTGTAGGTAGCCAAAGCTACCGTACATACAATATTACCGCACATCCAGCGGTATACCCGGCGTATAAGATGACCCCCGATTTGCGGGGGATGCTTTTAAGTCTAAAGACTCGTCTTATACACCGGCAAATACGGTAATAGAAATGGTCCTGCAGGCACAGCTATTTTTTTTGCTTTTGGTAAACTTAGGAGGAATCAGTCATGATTTAAATAGCCAATAGCTAACTGATAAGTTTGGCCTGTCCTACTCAAGAAATCAATATAGAGCAAAATGCTCTTGCTTTGAGGACACAATAACATTGTGGATGCACAATTCTTATAAAGCAGCCTTTTAGTGTCATCTATAAAATATATACTCCGAAACATGATGGGGAACTGCATGCATTGCATGGCTGGACTGGGAAGACTACAAGGATTTACATTATCCAGCTTGTCACCCAGCCAGCAGCTTGATTTAAGATAATCCAGCACTGTAATAAAACAAAAAGGGATCAAACTAGAAATTCCAGGCTGAACAAAAAAATGTGAACTAAAATTTTCCAGCAGGGCATCTTCGTTCCTAACTATTTGACAAGGCAAATATAGGCAAAACTCTGAGCTCAGGGGTTTAACTACCAGCAGGGCCCACCTCTAAGCTAAGCATTTGTTTTGTACCTAGCCTACTACTCCTGCAGAAGACACGATCACCCAATTGTCTTAAATAATGAGAGCTGTGTCCATCACTGAATGTAAGAGGAGGATGGGTTTAAAATGCATACCAGTCCACCTGCTTAATAAATGGTATAGGTGACACCAAGAGGCTGGATTACAAGCATTGTGCATTCACAATTCAATTCCCTGTGTTTTAGTATGTTGCTAAAAACAATCAAAGGGTTTATCTCGTGTGATCCAGGACAAAGCTCAGGTAACCCACAAAAGCATTTGTTTTTTTGTACACAATTGCATCCCTTCGTACCTCAGGAAAGTTGCAAGATGGTCGATCAGAGCCGCAGGGAGTAGTTTCCATGCTCATATTAAAGTCGAGCATTTGAAAGTGACAGGCATTGACAGAATCTTGACTAATGTTCAGTTCTTGGACAGCACATTCAGCTAGGCTCTGGTGATTACAGGCAAACTGAAAAAAAAAATGTCAACTACTGAGACCACATTAACATTTTATAATTTAAACAGACAAGAGCGCCACAAAGAGAAGATGACAAAGAATACCAGAAAGAGCAATAGAAACAAAATGTACAATATAAGTTTTAGATGCTTACCATGTTAACAAAGGCAGAGGTGAATACTAATAAAATGGAGAAAATACCAATGAGGGTGCTGTTTGTTCGTGACTGGACAATCTTTCGCGACACCCGTTGCAAGGCTGTTGGGAAAAGCTGTAAAAGATTTGAGAGTTGAAGTCTTCGCTGAAGATTAAGTCACTCTCACCTCATCCACATATAGTTGCTGCAGTCACTAACCTTTATACAGGAGTACACCGCACACACAAACAGGATATTGACCAGAATGATGAAGATGCTCGTGTACACACCAAGCATTAGAAAGGAACTGCACAAGAAAACTACAGTCACTTGGGAAAGTATTTAAAGCCAGACTGCAACAATGACATGTTCATGTATTCTGTACTTTTCAGTTTTTAATAGCATATTTGTATGCAGTAGATACATCTATTTACAAAACACAACTACACAAAAATAGGTTGATAAAGCCAAGTTATATTTTAGTTATAAAGTAAAGCGTGCGTCATCCCCTGGCATTTTATATATACAGTGGCGGAACTACCACCATAGCGACCGATGCGGTCGCTATAGGGCCCGCAGCACTGGGGGGGGGGCCCGGATCCCCACTGCTCTCCCCCGCTTGTATGGGCTGAGGCAG